AAATACAATTTATAAAATTAGGGACCCAAGTACAAAAGTGATAAAAAATAAATTAAATGAAATACAGGAAGCCTTTGAAAGATTCTATAAAACCCTATACTCTGAAGCCCCTGGCGGGACTGAAGCTCAGATTGATAGCTTCCTGAACCCTCTAGACTTACCCACTTTAGATGAAGAACAAAATCAAGCAATGATAATGAACATAACTGAAGAAGAATTAAAAGCTGCAATTAATAGGCTTAAATTAAGTAAATCACCAGGACCAGATGGTTACACGGCAGAGTGGTGTAAAGAATTTAAAAAGGAACTGATACCTGTTTTATTGCCTACATTGAATTGGGTTTTGAAAAAGGCACAAATGCCCCCCAGCTGGAAGGAGGCAATTATCTCAGTTATACCAAAAGAAGGCAAAGATAAAATGGAATGTGGATCTTTCAGGCCAATCTCCGTTCTTAATGTGGACTATAAACCTTTCACATCTATCATGGCCAAACGGCTAGAAGAGTTCCTACCAACACTGATATGTAACGACCAAACGGGTTTCATACATCAACGCCAAACACAGGACAATATACGAAAGACACTACATATTATGGACCATATACAAAAACATAAAATCAAAGCAATTGTGATGAGTGTAGACGCTGAAAAAGCCTTTGATTCCGTCAACTGGAAGTTCCTTTACAGGGTATTATATAAATTTGGCTTTCATGATACGATTATTAAAACTATACAAGCTCTATACGACAATCCTACAGCCAGGATTAAAATTAATGGATGCCTATCTAACAGTTTTACCCTAAAAAGGGGCACTAGACAGGGCTGTGCATGGTCACCGTTACTTTTCGCATTATACTTGGAACCACTAGCTCAATTCATTAGGCAAAACGAAGAGATTAAGGGAATTTCTATCAAAGGGACACAATATAAACTGGCTTGCTATGCGGATGACATTTTGGTCTACCTTGGACACCCAACATATTCTTTACCCAAACTGATGCAATCATTTGAACAATATGGCCAATTATCAGGCTATAAAATTAATATAGGTAAAACCCAGCTACTCTCATATAATTATAGCCCACCAGAAGAAATAAAATATAGTTATCCCCTGGTATGGCAAACGGAGTCTTTTAAATATTTAGGCATAAATTTACCGAAAGATCTTACAAAATTATTTGAACAGAACTACCTACCCTTATACAAAAAAATAAAGGAAGATATAGTAAGATGGAACTTAATTCCTTTCTTTAGCTTTAATTCAAGAATTGATTCTATTAAAATGAATGTATTGCCAAGATTTTTGTATCTATTTCAAACCCTACCAATAGAGATTAACCAAAGTCAATTTAATGAGTGGGACAAAATGTTATCTAGATATATATGGCAAGGTAAAAGACCAAGGGTTCGCCTCAAAACTCTACAGCTGGCTAAGCAAAAGGGAGGATGGGGCCTCCCTGACCTCAGATACTACTATTTTGCAGCGCAGATGAGAGCAATAATATGCTGGTGTAACCCATCATACACTGCCCAATGGAAAACCATTGAGGAACAAATGCTGTCTATTCCTATTCAGGCAACTCTAGCTGACAATAATTTACAAACCTATATAAAAAACATTGATAACATGTGGGTGAAAAGGACCCTTAAAACATGGAAAACTATTATAAAGGAATATAAACTCGAGACCAATATTACAGTTCTTAAATGGTGTGCTTACGACTCAGAGTTCAAGCCTAATGAATTGGATTCTAGATTCAAGGACTGGACAGGTAAGGGCATAACAGCCCTGTGTAGTATAATGAAAGATGGAAAATTGTTCAGCTTTGACACGCTTAGAAAGACATTTTCATTAGAAAAACAAGACTTCTATCGATATTTGCAGTTAAGGCACTATGCTGACACGAAGATGAGAAATGTAACAATGACAAACACACGCTTGATGGAATTGTTTATAAAAAGCTATAACTCAGAAACTATTGATAGAATTGTATCATGTCTGTATAAGGGTCTAATGGATTTGAAACCACATTCGACTTCATATATTAGAACAAAATGGGAGAAGGAAGGAGGGATAAAAATATTAGAGGAAGAATGGACGGCAATATGGAGGTATCAGTGGATGTGTACCAGCTCACAAAAGTGGAGGGAATTCGGCTGGAAGTGCCTAATTAGATACTTTACAACACCTTCTCAGAAGTCTCATTATGATGATAACCCCCCTGCTTGTTGGAGGAACTGTGGAAATCAAAGTGCAAATCACTACCACATTTTCTGGGACTGCTCTATCTTGAGGGATTATTGGAGAGAAATACATAATGCCTTACAGGATATCTTTAAATGCGAAATACCCCTCGAGAGTAAGACTATGTTCTTTGGATATATACCTCAGGAATGGCCTAAATATGATAAACATTTAGTAAATATTCCACTGGTGGCCTGTAAAAAGAGTATCACCAGAAAATGGTTATCCCCGGAGAGCCCAACCATAAGTACATGGATGGAAATCACAATGGAAATCTATAACATGGAAAAGATAACAGCTTCTGTTAACCACAAGCTGGAGAAATTTACATCATACTGGGAAAACTGGGTCAAATATACCACGCCTCACAGGCCAGTTTTATTTTTACAAACCAATAACTGATGTATGAGAGCATATATTTATAGGATCACCCCCTACCAACACATCCGTTTTTGTTTTGTTTGTTGGTTTTGTTTGTTTTCTTATTTCGGATTATGTGATTGTTTCAATTGCTTCTATAGTTGTAAATATTCTCTCTTTATGACTTGGATGCAAATTAAAATACTATTTTGGTATCTAAGGCAGATAACCTAAGCAAGAAGTATGCTTACATGATGTACATACTGTGAATGCCTGCTTTTGAAACCTTAATAAAAAAAAATATAAATCAAAAAAAAAAAGAAAAAAACAGACATCAGTTTCAATTCAGGACATGAAACAGTTCCTTTATATTTTAAAACTTGTTTTAAAATAAGACAAGAACACAAGTGCACATTACAAACTACCAGTCAGAGGTATGAAAGAACCTTACAGTAATGGGTAAAAGCAACAATCACCCTTTTCAATATTCCACTCATTTGTTTTATTTCATTATTTGTTTGGCAACTGGCAGCTCGACACACCAGGACATAATCCAAATTCATCTCCGAGAGCATCCTAGTCCAAAGCTGTACAAGAAGAGCATTAAAATGTTTGTGTATCAGATCTCTTTGCACAGGTTGGGATATCTCTTCAGAAGTGCCGTGGCTTGCTTTGGTGGCAGACGTCCTCCCTGGATGTTGCTCTGTCCAGCTTTATTCTTCGCGTCAGCCTACGAAGGAAGAAGAAGATTTATTACAGATGTGTTTATGAGAGTAATGTTTCTAAACTACTCAAGGACACTTCTGCCCACTTTCAGCCCAACATTTTGCAGGAGTTCAGAGTTTAGAAAGAATAATGAGGAAGAAGCACAGGTGTGTGCTTCTAGTCTCCCAGGGCTGTTGCTGAGCTGGCCGGTTCACTGAAATGTAACTGTACCTTCTATAAAGTAACCGAACTCTCAGCTCAATGTCAAAACACAGAAAACTGATGTAAACCACCAGTCAAAGGTCGAATGTTTTTTCTTTATTTTCATAACTATTTACATTGTAGATTCTCACTGAAGGCATCAGAAGTATGAATGGACACATTTGGAATTATGTAGTAAACACAAAAATGTGAAATAATTCAACATTTTTTTATACTGTAGATTCTTCCAAATCCCCCCTTTGCTTCGATTAATGCTTTGCACACTCTTGGCCTTCTCTCCATGGGTTTCACGAGGTCGTCACCTGGAATGGTTTTCCAACAGTCTTGAAGGAGTTCCCAGAGATGCTGAGCACTTGTCGGCCTGTTTGCCTTCATCCCAAACCATCGCCACTGGGTTTAGGTCAGCTGACTGTGGAGGCCAGGGCACCTGGTGCAGCACTCCATCACTCTCCTTCTTGGACCAATAGCCCTCACACAGCCTGGAGGTGTGTTTGGGGTCATTGTGCTGTTGAAAAACAAATGATGGTCCAACTAAATGCAAACTGGATGGGATGTGTCTGCAGGATGCTGTGAGCCACGCTGGTTCAGAATTCTGAATAAATCCCCAACAGTGTCACCAGCAAAGTACCCCCACACCATCACACCTCCTCCATGGTCACGGTGGGAACCATGCATGCGGACCGCAGTGGACCATCGGACCAAAGCACAGATGTCCACTGGTCTAATGTCCGTTGCTTGTGTTTCTTGGCCCAAACAAATCTCTTCTGCTTGTTGCTTTTCCTTAGTCGTGGTTTCTCTGCAGCTATTTGACCATAAAGGCCTGATTCACACCGTCTCTGAACAGTTGATGGTGAGATGTGTCTGCTACTGGAGCTCTGTGTGGCATCTATCTGGGCTCTAACCTGAGGAGCTGTTAACTTGTGATTTCTGAGGCTGGTGACTCGGATGAATGTATCCTCAGCAGCAGAGGGGACTCTGGGACGGTCCTCATGTGAGCCTGTTTTGTTGTAGTGTTTGATGGTATTGTGACTTCACTGCACACAGTCAGAGTTTTAGCCATTTTTAGGACTGACTGACCTTCAGTTCTTAAAGTCATGATGGGCTGTTGTTTCTCTTTATTAGCCGATTGGATCTGTCAAATAGGGCTGTCAACTATTTACCAACCTGCCCTGCACAACACAACTGATGGTCCCAACTCCATTAAGAAGGCAAGAAACTCCACAAGTGAACGCTGACAGGCACACCTGTGAGGTGACCATGTCAGGTGACGACATCATGAAGCTCACTGAGAGAAGGCCGAGGGTTTGCAGCCTTGTCAACAAAGCAAAGTGTGGCTGCTTTGAGGAATCTAAAATATGAAACATATTTCTATCCATTTATTTAGGTATCTTTTTTTTCTTTGCTACATAATCCTGTGTATCTTGCTTCATATATTTGATGCCTTCAGTTTGTATCTATAATGTAGGAATGAGGAATAATAAAAAAAAATCATTACATGAGAAGGTGGTTCCAAACGTTTGACTGGTAGTGTATATCTGTTAGGAATGGTTGTTTTCTGCCACTTGGTTAAGGTAAGTACATCAAGATCACACGAGGATACAGTGGGGCAAAAAAGTATTTAGTCAGCCACCGATTGTGCAAGTTCCCCCACCTAAAATGATGACAGAGGTCAGTAATTTGCACCAGAGGTACACTTCAACTGTGAGAGACAGAATGTGAAAAAAAAATCCATGAATCCACATGGTAGGATTTGTAAAGAATTTATTGGTAAATCAGGGTGGAAAATAAGTATTTGGTCAATAACAAAAATACAACTCAATACTTTGTAACATAACCTTTGTTGGCAATAACAGAGGTCAAACGTTTACTATAGGTCTTTACCAGGTTTGCACACACAGTAGCTGGTATTTTGGCCCATTCCTCCATGCAGATCTTCTCGAGAGCAGTGATGTTTTGGGGCTGTCGCCGAGCAACACGGACTTTCAACTCCCGCCACAGATTTTCTATGGGGTTGAGGTCTGGAGACTGGCTAGGCCACTCCAGGACTTTCAAATGCTTCTTACGGAGCCACTCCTTTGTTGCCCGGGCGGTGTGTTTGGATCATTGTCATGTTGGAAGACCCAGCCTCGTTTCATCTTCAAAGTTCTCACTGATGGAAGGAGGTTTTGGCTCAAAATCTCACGATACATGGCCCCATTCATTCTGTCCTTAACACGGATCAGTCGTCCTGTCCCCTTGGCAGAAAAACAGCCCCATAGCATGATGTTTCCACCCCCATGCTTCACAGTAGGTATGGTGTTCTTGGGATGCAACTCAGTATTCTTCTTCCTCCAAACACGACGAGTTGAGTTTATACCAAAAAGTTCTACTTTGGTTTCATCTGACCACATGACATTCTCCCAATCCTCTGCTGTATCATCCATGTGCTCTCTGGCAAACTTCAGACGGGCCTGGACATGCACTGGCTTCAGCAGCGGAACACGTCTGGCACTGCGGGATTTGATTCCCTGCCGTTGTAGTGTGTTACTGATGGTGACCTTTGTTACTTTGGTCCCAGCTCTCTGCAGGTCATTCACCAGGTCCCCCCGTGTGGTTCTGGGATCTTTGCTCACCGTTCTCATGATCATTTTGACCCCACGGGATGAGATCTTGCGTGGAGCCCCAGATCGAGGGAGATTATCAGTGGTCTTGTATGTCTTCCATTTTCTGATGATTGCTCCCACAGTTGATTTTTTCACACCAAGCTGCTTGCCTATTGTAGATTCACTCTTCCCAGTCTGGTGCAGGTCTACAATACTTTTCCTGGTGTCCTTCGAAAGCTCTTTGGTCTTGGCCATGGCGGAGTTTGGAGTCTGACTGTTTGAGGCTGTGGACAGGTGTCTTTTATACAGATGATGAGTTCAAACAGGTGCCATTCATACAGGTAACGAGTGGGGGACAGAAAAGCTTCTTACAGAAGACGTTACAGGTCTGTGAGAGCCAGAGATTTTCCTTGTTTGAGGTGACCAAATACTTATTTTCCACCCTAATTTACAAATAAATTCTTTACAAATCCTACCATGTGGATTCATGGATTTTTTTTCACATTCTGTCTCTCACAGTTGAAGTGTACCTCTGGTGCAAATTACTGACCTCTGTCATCATTTTAAGTGGGGGAACTTGCACAATCGGTGGCTGACTAAATACTTTTTTGCCCCACTGTACATTTGCATATGACGCATAATTTATTTTCCATTTGTGTTACTCTAAAATAACAGTAGCACTCTTCTCCATCCCCATTCTTAGTTTTTCTGTACTGCTAGAGTCACAGTTAATGCATGGGCATGTTTCACTGAATTCTGCAGAGCATGGACATACCTGAGCCTTTTCCACACACATATAAAAGCTGTTAATCTCATTAGAGCACAGAGTGTCCACAAAGTTGTTCTGCTTCCAACAGGCCATCAGGACTGACATTTCAGTGATACAAGAGGCCTCTGTGGAGAAAGACATTCGTGTTTACACATTAATCCAACTTGAGTCATTCATAATAAATCATTTAGCTGGACTTCTACAGGCAACTACAAGTGTAAAGTAAATCCAGATACTTGTGTATAAACACAGAAACGTAACTGTTGTAGTTCTTTGAGAAAAACGTTTAATAAATGAATAAAATGTCTATTTGTGATTGATCTGAAACATCCTGCAGATCAAACGGACGTTTTAAATCATCTAAAGGCGGAGACATCTGTCAATTAGTATTGCTCTTCTAAGACATCAGTATCCGGTCACTTTTGCAGCATTTAGTTCAATTTGAGTGGAGCACAGCCCCAAGCTCCACCCTGCTGCTACCATCAGCACTGAACTACGCTGCATGTAGTCAGCCTGTGGTGGGGCTTCTGCAGTCAGCCCTCTCGGTCCGTTTCTCCTGCCGTGCTGATGTATTCATGTCTTTATGTTCTTACCCCCTTTCTTGGGTTTTCGGTTCGCTACAGCGTCTTTCAGAACCAGAGCCCTGTTGGGTTTGAGCACTGGTTTTCCGTTCTGTCCGCGGAGCAGTCTGCTGACCTTCTCCTGGAACACGATGCCTCCCTGCGTGGCCATCGTAGTGTGAAAGTCCTCCCCTCACTGTGCCTCAGCTCCACGGGGAGCTGCTGCCTCGCCGAGGAAATATTTTGAAACTTTGAGAATGAAAAAGCAGAAGAAAAGCTCTCAGTGTTTGTCTCGGTGCTTCATTACCTCACCAAGCTTAGCTGCGCGGCGCCATGTTTTACCGTAGAAAGAAATTAATTGTCGTAAAGGTCTTCTTCTGCTTTATATTATTATTGGCATATATTAGCATTGCAGCAAAACGCTGCATTACCGCCACCAACTGGCGTGGAGTGTGGACCGAAATGTCAAAAAAATAAAGATAAAAAATCAAATCCTCCCAAACAAACGAGTCTGCCTTAAAAACAAACTATGGCCTGATAACTCTCACTTCTCGAGTTCTTACGAAATAAATCAACCAAGTCCAGCTTCACGTTCACATCACCAAGCTTTTGGATCATTGTCTTTTTTACAGCATCATATTTCTGACGATGCACTAAAACATGTTCTGTTGTTTCTTCTTCTCTATTGCAGAGTCGGTGTCGTGTACGTGTGGCGTAACATCATTTGCAAACGTTTTTTTAAATAATTGAAGGAAAACAAGTTACAAGAACACAAAAACGTTTAAAAGACAAGCCAGGGACTCACAGCAATAGCATTAAGAGTCAGAGAATATAATGAAATAAGACAGTAATAATGTTTTCATAAATAATTAAATACACGGCAGGAGATTTTAAATAAAAACTGCAGTTTCTTACACAATTCAAGTTGTTTTCACAGCTTTCTGGTTGATGCAGCCAGCAATAGAGCTTCATTAATGTAAAAAATAGGACAGGGTTCTTGTTGCTAAATTTACAGTTATGAATGAACAGATTGATGGCATTATAATGGCATGGTCCAAAGCCAACAATAAAAGGATACTCAGTGGTAGCATCGGCTTGATACAAATCTTTATAAAAATCAAAAAATAACACAAATATTACTTTCAATGAGATGAGAATAATTATACTCGATAATAATCAATAATATAAAATATACAAGTTTTCTATTACTGGAGATATGTTGAGTTAGTTTTCCAGAAAATAGCTTCACCATTCCAGGAAGATACATCAGGGTCTAACTCCTCTAATACTGAAACCAATGAAGAAGTGAAATGATAAAATTCTAGCATCAAGCAAACATTTAATTATCTGCAACATTCTCTGACTGGAAGAAATTAGTTTAACATTTAAACCTATTTTCAGCACATTCCAGCACATAAAATAAAATATTTTTTGTGTTTACACTCAGTCTTTCAAATAGATGCAAGTAAAACACAGCAGAAAATAAATAAAGTCAAAGACTCAGCGGTCCTGTTGCTCTATTTTCACCTGTAAAGCAGGAGTGGGGTAGGCGGAGGTTTACCCTGGTGCAGGTGTGCAGCGGTCAGTGGAAGAATCCGCGAGTTTCTCTGTGAGTTTCCCATTACGTCGTAGCTACTCGGTGCTTGCTTGGAAGTTTAGGGGTTTTTTTCGCTGTAAAAAGAAGTTTTCTTCCCACGCACAACGGACGCTAATGTTTTTGTCACTTTTTATGGAATCAAACTCAAAATAAGGTCAGTACTTCCACGCTTTAAACGCTGCACGCTCATACTCTCTCGCACTTGATATATTATCCATTGTTGATCTGCACACAGCTGTTGTCGCACTGCTTACGTCACTGTCATGAGACATTCTTGCAAAAAAATCACGGTTTTAGTAACGCAGTAACGCAGCGTTCCTACGGGAAAGTAACGGTAATCTAATTACCGTTTTTGCAATAGTAATCCCTTACTTTACTCGTTACTTGAAAAAAGTAATTGGATTACAGTGACGCCATTCTCGTCCTTTTAGATCTGAGCTCAGCCTTTGACACCATTTCTCACTCTGTCCTTCTAAGCAGACTTTCCTCTCTCGGCATCTCTGACACACCCCTCGCCTGGTTTCAATCATATCTCCTCGACCGTTCCCAGTTTATTCAACTAAGATCATTCCGCTCTCGTCTATTCCCCGTCACCTCTGGTGTACCCCAAGGCTCAGTTTTAGGCCCTCTTCTCTTTATAATATACATCCTCCCTCTAGGTACCATCTTCCGCAAATTTGATCTTCAGTTTCACTGTTTTGCTGATGACACCCAGTTATATCTCTCTTGCAAACCTGATTCCTCCCTCCCACCTTCTTCCCTTACAGAATGTCTATCCGAGTTAAAATCCTGGTTTACCTCTAATTTTCTAAAGCTCAATGAGGATAAAACTGAGATCCTCCTTATTGGCACCAAATCCAACCTTTTGAAGGTGAACCATTTCTCACTCACCATCGATAACTCCACAGTTTTCCCTTCTCCTCAGGTTAAGAGCCTTGGTGTCATCCTAGACAGTTCACTTTCCTATAAATCTACAATCAATAACCTCACCCGTTCTGCCTACTTCCATCTACGTAACATTAACAGATTGCTTCCTTCTCTTTCCACCCAGTCTACGTCCATTCTTGTCCACAGTCTTGTTACCTCCCGTATTGACTACTGCAATTCTCTTCTGCATGGTCTCCCCCAAAAATCCCTCCATAAGCTTCAACTGGTTCAGAACTCTGCTGCTCGCATTATCACCAGAACCCCCTCCTACCAGCACATCACCCCTGTTCTTCAGGAACTTCACTGGCTCCCTGTGAAATTCCGGATAATTTTCAAACTTCTTCTGCTCACCTTCAAGGCCATTCATAACCTCGCTCCTCCTTACCTTTCTGACCTGTTAACCACCACCTGTTCTGCCCGTTCACTTCGTTCTTCTTCTTCTATCCAGCTTGCTGTACCTTCCTTCCGCCTCACCACCATGGGAAGCAGAGCTTTCAGCTGCTCTGCTCCCAGGCTGTGGAGCTCTCTGCCCCCAGAAATAAGAAATATTGGTTCTCTCCCCCAGTTTAAATCCCAACTCAAAACTCATCTGTTCAAATCTGCATATTCACTGTGAATCCACTGTTTGTTCATTTTATCTTGTGCTTTATTTTATTGTTCTTATTCTGCCATTGTTTTACTAAGTGTTTTATCCTATTGTAAAGTGTCCTTGGGTGACTTGAAAGGCGCTCATAAAATATTTATTATTATTATGTGTTGAGCCCTGCGACAGACTGGCGACCTGTCCAGGGTGTACCCCGCCTTTCGCCCTATGACAGCTGGGATAGGCTCCAGCGCCCCCCACGACCCTGAAAAGGATAAGCGGAAGCGAATGGATGGATGGATTATTACTGCCCATCTCTGAACCCAAGAAAATACAAAATGCAGACTCGTTTTGATGATGGTTTCATTTATTGAAGGAAAAACGCTATCCATCTACCCGCCCATGTGACAAAGTGCCTAACCTTGTTAAATTCTGAATTTCTTTAAATAACAATATATTTTGGAAAGCTCAGATCAGTTTCAGGTGTGAGTACTGCCACACCTGCTGAATCAAGAAATCCCTTAAGCAGAACCTGTCTGACAAACTGAAGCAGGCTAAAAGATTTAATTTTGTTTGATTGTCAGTTGTTGGGATAGAATATCTTTCTAAGCCATGCTATAGCTATTAGGAATGGTTCTTGGTCAAAGTAGGCATTCATTTTACCCGAATCTTTCCACTCATAATTGTTTCCCTCCATTTATTTTTCACAACATTAATTTCACCTTCCTCTGTATCCTCCTCACACTTTTGTTGGGACCATGGGTGCTTCTGCACAGCTGGTGCTAGTAACAGCAGCCTCCTGTGAGCCTTGTTGTTGCTGCTACAGTCGATGTTGCAGCTGCTGCTGCAGCCCTGACTTCTAACACGTCGGTTCATCTGACACACTTTGCTGCATTTATTCTCAATTTTACAGCTCCACCATTTCCCCATTTCTTCCACACTACTCTGTTGGAGCGCGAGCTCACCGCAAAGGCCAGGAATGAGTCAGCTGTGTTAAGAGATTTAACTGGGTAATCTAATGAAAATCAAGGAATGGTCAGCTGTCAGTCAATTCAATTCAATTCAATTCAATTTTATTTATATAGCGCCAAATCACAACAAAAGTCGCCTCAAGGCGCTTCATAGATACAGAGAAAAACCCAACAATCATATGACCCCCTATGAGCAAGCACTTTGGCGACAGTGGGAAGGAAAAACTCCCTTTTAACAGGAAGAAACCTCCGGCAGAACCAGGCTCAGGGAGGGGCGGGCCATCTGCTGCGACCGGTTGGGGTGAGAGAAGGAAGACAGGATAAAAGACATGCTGTGGAAGAGAGACAGAGGTTAATAACAGATATGATTCAATGCAGAGAGGTCTATTAATACATAGTGAGTGAGAAAGGTGACTGGAAAGGAAAAACTCAATGCATCATGGGAATCCCCCGGCAGCCTACGTCTATTGCAGCATAACTAAGGGAGGATTCAGGGTCACCTGGTCCAGCCCTAACTATATGCTTTAGCAAAAAGGAAAGTTTAAGCCTAATCTTGAAAGTAGAGATAGTGTCTGTCTCCGAATCCAAACTGGAAGCTGGTTCCACAGAAGAGGGGCCTGAAAACTGAAGGCTCTGCCTCCCATTCTACTTTTAAATACTCTAGGAACAACAAGTAGGCCTGCAGAGCGAGAGCGAAGTGCTCTAATAGGGTGATATGGTACTACAAGGTCATTAAGATAAGATGGGGCCTGATTATTTAAGACCTTGTATGTGAGGAGCAGGATTTTGAATTCTGGATTTAACAGGAAGCCAAAACAGGAGAAATCTGCTCTCTCTTTCTAGTCCCTGTCAGGACTCTTGCTGCAGCATTTTGGATCAGCTGAAGGCTTTTCAGGGAGTTTTTAGGACATCCTGATAATAATGAATTACAGTCGTCCAGCCTGGAAGTAATAAATGCATGAACTAGTTTTTCAGCGTCACTCTGAGACAGGATATTTCTAATTTTAGAGATGTTGCAGCAAATGGAAGAAAGCAGTCTTACATATTTGTTTAATATGTGCGTTGAAGGACATGTCCTGGTCAAAAATGACTCCAAGGTTCCTCACAGCGTTACTGGAGGCCAAGGTAATGCCATCCAGAGTAAGAATCTGTTAGATACCATATTTCTAAGATTTTCAGGGCCGAGTACAATAACCTCAGTTTGATCTGAATTAAGAAGCAGAAAGTTAGCGGCCATCCAGGTCTTTATGTCTTTAAGACATTCCTGCAGTTTAACTCATTGGTGTGTGTTATCTGGCTTCATG